TGTTAGCAATGATTCCATATTTTACTCGTCTACTAATCAGAAATTAAACCATTTTTCATCTTTGATTGATGCCTTATAAGGTAAAGGGAGGTATTATGGCGGGGGTGGAATCATATAATATTGAAGTTAACATGCAGTTTACCGGTTGAAGGCTAATGATTCTTATACCGTTTGATTCATCTCATCAAGTCGAATCGAATGATGTAAAAAACATTCGATTCTGACCAATAGGTTGCAAGATAATTGTCATTTACTCTTCGTATAGAGAGAATGTTACTGCGGGTGATTGTCGTAATGCATTTATAAATTACAAGTATTAGTGGGGCTCCACTGGCGCCCTTTTAATTTTAGCCCACATAGTGCAGATAATATAGTGAATATCCAAAAATCATATACTGCATAGATTTTTTTATAATAAAAACTTTGGGACCTACATTCCATATTAAATTATTATAAAAAATCGATTTACTTCCGCCTTTAATCTCTCCCGCAATATTTAACATTTTTTAAATTCTATAAAAGCAAGATGTTTAATGAAAAGTGCCTTTATAACATAATAATATTAGAAATTTATCTCACCAATCGAAATATGTCACGGCTTATCTAAGTGTCTGCTATCTCACGATTTACTGCGATTACATAGTAATTTATTGTCTGGATTTTCTCATAAATTTAAAGGATTTTTATAAAAACCCGGTCATCTATTTACTATGTAGCCCCATGTGGCCTACATTATACGTATATTGTTAAAAACGATCTCGGCGTATAGTTTTCGTTCGGAAGTGCACTTCGCAATTACGCAATCGGATTTGATGCAAAAAATTTCGCACGGTCATAACGGATGGTAATTATGTCGTAATTGCAGATTTCCCATTGAATACAGTTTTTTCTCATAGTCATGAGATTTAAATCTGCACATGACCAAAATGATTGGTAAAAATGTACAGGATACTCGTGACGGGCGATAATTTTTAACGGTTCGATCATTCGATCCCTCTCGGCGAATACAAGTCAACTTGTTTTTATAATTTAAATAGACAAAAATTATATTAAATCGAAATAAAATTTGCAATTAGTAATATTTTAATAAAGTTTTACTATAAGCAAATTTTGATAAAATTTAACTCTACCAGAATACCTCCCTCTACCTTATATATAACTATTACATACAGTACCTTACTTTATTGTTTATGCAATCGATATTTTAACTTTGATTAATTTATACAAACTCTGATAAGGAGAGACGATCGCGATCACAATCATGCCTTACTTCGCATTACGAATCCCATGGTCATAAATTAACCTGACACTAGATATTGCTATACGACTTTATTTTAATATCATACCTTCAAAGAGATCCTTACCTCTCCCTTCAAAGATAAAAAGGTATCAACCTAAATTAGCATCTGAATTACATGATTATTTAAAAATATTACAAAAATTGAAACTATAGATATTTAAAATTTTGTTTCAAACTTAATTCCTTAAGTCAATCTGGAAAAAATAGTTTAATTATTACTTATAAAAGTTTAAAAAAGATTATAAAAAAAAATAAATAAAAGAAGTATAAAATGGTTTAATTTCTGATTAGTAGACTAGTAAAATATGGAATCATTGCTAACAGCATTACTAGTCCATATGCCTACCATTGGGAGTCGGTAGCATCTCTGAAAACTCCTGGAGTTAGGATTCGTCCTTGGTACAAGTCCCGTACATTGTATAACAAACTCCAATATTTTTAAAGACAATAAAAAAATTCAAGGTAAATAAATAATTAGTACGTATGTACATTTCAATTATAAATTTATCTAATACTGTTGCATATTATAAATAGAATAATACGAAAGCAGATATTCAACTAAATACACTGAAAGTAATGAGTACTGCCGCCACTTGTCAAGAAGATGAATTAACAATATAGGAGGAAACTTTTTATGTGCAAATCGTAATTAGAATACAGAAAGAACCACTCGCACAAGTTTAACACGCCTCTTCTGACCAACTCTTATCGTAAACTAGTCGTTATATTGTTGTATGTGAACTGCACATTTTCACCTTGTCCTAGAAGCCTTGTAATCCGTTCAAAGGCAGCATCATATAAACCTTGTTATTCATTCGAAGGTAGCAATCATCAATTCTTGAATAATTTATAACGGAGGTGTAAAGAATAGAACATAGATGATTGCAAGAGAATAATTCATGAAGATTGAATAAATTAATAGTGAAATAAATTTGAAATATAATAATTCTAACGTGGTTGATTAGTTGATTAAAAATGTCTACAATTTTTTTTGTCGAAGCATAATAGGAACTTTTCCATTTAACAAAATAAATATAATCATGCGGAAATTTTTGAGAATTGTAATTATTATAGTTACGGTAACTGAAATATTCATTTTGGTGATGTTACACATTCCGGAGAGATATGTCGGATTTGTAATAATAATATCCAGATCTGTCGGAGTTATAGAATTAGTAAAAATTCGAATCAGAGTATTATTAGTACCTGTGATCTGTTGGGACGTTATGAAAGTAATTTTCTATTTATATATGTTTCGTCCTGTCATTCTGACAAATATTCGAAATTAGAAAAGTAATTTCTCCTGCAACACTATAGTGCGTTATGTAAATTCTGACTACCTAGCTACATGTAACTGTAGTTGATTCATTTTCTAATTCAATATATACATTAAATCAATAATTGCAATTAATTGATTTTATTCTTATTAAGACATAACAATTCTGAAACGAAGATTTGTACATAGCATCTTATTGTCTGTATTCATAAATAATTAAACATTATTATCTATTTGTAAAGCCATATTTACTATTCAATTTATTTTTTGCAGCCACTTGATAGTATTCAAACGCTTTTTCTTCATCAATATTAGTTCCCATTCCGATATTATAACAATCACCAAGTATTTGATACGCCGTAACATAACCATTTCTAAGAGACTTTTGATACAAGTCAAAGGCTTTCCTGTGATCTATAGAAGTTCCCTCACCATATCTGTAGCAAGAAGCAAGATTATACAATCCAACTGCCGATCCACCATCAGCAGCTTTTTGAAAATATTCAAATGCTTTTTTAAAATTAATCGTAGTCTCTATACCTAACCTGTAACAAGAACCAAGACTATTGTATCCACAAACACATCCACCTTCAGCAGATTTTTTATATAATTCAAAAGCCTTTTTTTTATTAACTGCAGTTCCTTCACCGTATTCATAACAATAACCAAGGTTATTCTGGGCTAAAATAAAACCTCGATTAGCAGCCTTTTGATAATATTCGAATGCTTTTTGATAACTAATATCAGTTGCAACACCTTTATGATAGTAATAACCAAGGCCATTATAAGCAACTACATAGCCATTTTTGGCAGATTTTTGAGCAAATTCAAAAGCTTTTGTTTCATCCTTTGTGACCCATTTTCCATGATAATAGCAATCTGAGAGAATACATTGAACTATATAATTATTTTGGTTATCAAAACACCAATGAATAAAATCCTCCGGGCTTTGCCGTTCTTTTAAAAAAAATAGTTCCATTTGATCGAGAATTACCAATGAAATTTTGCCTTTCATTCTTTCCTTATGATAAAGATTGCATAATTTGTTGCCGGTTTTATCATTATCTGGAATTAGCTTTTTAGAATACCTATAATGAATAATTGTGAAGTTAAAGTAAAATTTCTTAACGTATAATGATTTTATGATATTTAAACTGTGGCTAATATTCATTGCTACTTACATTTTTTTAAAATTTTGGATCAAAATTTTTCTAGCTATTTTTTTACTATAAAAGTTTGTTAAGTTTTTATTAGCTTTTTATACAAATAATAAAATTAACAAGTATTGCATTCATTTTTTCTACAAATTTTAAAATGTTTTACCTTTTCATTTTTTTTTTATACGTAGTAGGGTAAAAGACTCAAATGGGGTTGGGTTATCTGGCTAATTGGTACGTACGTACGTACGTTCGTAACTTTGGAAGTTTGCAGCTATGCATGCAAATGTACGCATATAAATTGTGTCACTCATTAACAGTAGCAGCTTTACTACATTTTACGTACCACAAATTTGTATGCCACAAACTTTATACAATTTAGGAAGAGTCATTTTTGTCAATATTGGTCGGAGAAAGTACGGACATACGTACTATTGCCGTAAGGTGCGAGTTTATCCAAGTCCTTTGTAGGATAATCGTCTTCCAAATAAAAGGAATGGTATAAATGACAATGATTACAGAGTAAACTTTGCGTCACGCTATTTTTTTTTAATAAAGCAGCAGCTTTATCACGCCATTTTTTTTTTTGGCCAATACAGCAGTATCTCTAATATTATGCTTGCGCCATTTTTTTTATTAATACGGCAGCGGCTCTGTAATAATTTGTGAAGATATAAGCGATCCCTTCCTTGTAAGCAGAATTCTTGGCAAATAAGAGGGTTTTGCCTACGATAAGAGGGTTTAGCCTACGTATTCGGCAACGTACAGTACGTACGTACGTATGTTGCATGCATCACTTATGTATTTGTTTAATATGTTCCTTATTTGTGCGAGTAATACAACCAAAAAAAAGGGAAAATTGCCAGAGAGCATAATTGTGGTCATCTTAGATTAACCTGTTTTGAACACTAATCAAAAAATGAAATAAAATGTTATTTTAAAATTTCCTTTTTTAAATTTGTATCAATCATGCAACTAAATCAGGCATCAGCGTCGCTCTAACTAAACATTACAAAGTACATTTGCCTAACGTGATGATATATTCTTATGCTATATAGAATTAATTGCAATATATGTTATAAATGCTTTAATATCATAATTCAGTAATATTATAGAAGAAGCTAAAAATTTTCCATTCTGTATTTCAACGTTTTATTTTCAATTTTTGTTCAAAAATTTTTTAATATTAAAAAATATTACAAGTAATTAAAAAATAAAAATATTTAGAATTAGTTGTATTTTTTAATAACGAATTGGTGTCAATATGTAAAAATATTATGTGATAAGACAGATTTCAATGCTTATTACACTGAAAAAAAACTATATTAGTAATACAAAGTTTAGAAGGTTTAATGTGATAAGTGATAATGTTATAATTACAGAATTTCATTCTACTCTTGAAGCATTTGCTCATTTTACGTATCAATACAATAAAGAGTATTTGGTAGTTTATGATTTGCAACGAGTTAAAGATCTGGAATCATAAATCTTAGGAAAGTGGAATTCAGAAATGTTTTTGGTAAATCATAAGTGTAATTGTATTTGGAAAAAGTTAAAAGTTAGATAAGATTAATTCGAAAAGAAAAAAATATTGGAATGTTTTTTGGAAATTCTTAAATGCATTAATATGTGCAAAAAAATAATAATCTGTTATTTATTGAATTGTTCTAGAATTATTACTGTAGAAGCCTAGTAACACAAGTCTAAAAACTTGGCATTGTTTACTGCTGCTGTGAGTCTATTTATAAACCTAACAATACTAGTCCAAAAAAATTCTCGCGTTATGAGATCTTTTTCAAGACATTAGAAGCTATTAGATTAAAGGTTAGGATATTTATAGTAGATTAGGGTTATAGTTACAACAAAATTTAGCAAGGAAAACTTTTGGTTGTTACGTAGAAGACAGTTTCATAGGCAAATTTTTGGTTAAATGCTTTTTTTATCTTACACCCGATTGTTAAATGTGATTGACTAATTATATTGTTTTATATTGGTGTAGATGCTGTTGACAGGTCTTTGTAGCCGTAGAGTCAATCAGTATTCCCAACCTTTTTTACATTGGCCAGGATCTCGCACAGCTCTGCATCTGTGAGACTTCTGAATTATTAGATATTGTGCTATCACGGAAACTATGAGTAATCACAATCATGGCGATTATCTTTCCTTAGTCTTAGAAATGCTTCAGAACCGTGTGGATAAAGATGACGTGTGATAGCGAACAAAATATAAATCGCTCCTTAATTAATTACATTCCCATTTCCCGCAAATTAATACCTGCAGAACACAATGCCCTCACGCCTCCATATATTATTTACACATGTGATCTACATTTATCTTGTAATAACGATAATGTTGCCAATCTTGATGCGTATCAAAATCAGAACCTTGCTATGATTATAAATTTTATATCATCCAAAAATTAAATTCACACAATTCGAAAAAAAATTTAAAAACTATTCAGTGATATTTAATTAAGGGTACTTATTCAAACATGCCATTCGAATAAAATATCATTAATAAAAGATCAGTAACACTCAGCATATTCAGCGTACTTTCATTGATAATCAAACTTTTGAAATGCATGTTTAATGTGAGAATGTATTGAATCATGAGTTTTAAGTAATATTAAAAAATTTTGCGTCAAAAAATCAAAATAATTAAAGTATTCATTTAACTCTTTGTTAGTTAAGTCTTCGAAAACTTGATGATTTAACACTAAAAAAAATTGACATTTATTCTTCCATTAATCATGACATCCAATTTCAACTCCTTATTCAAGCGTGGGTATCATGATATACTGTCACATTTTTTTCGTTATCAATTGACACCTTTTTTGTGTGGTGTGATGTTTCAAAGTGTATATATGATCTTTTATTCTAGAAAAGGCCAAATGTTATTTTTAATTACTGGCCTGAGCATGTTTTTTTTTTATATTGCAAATTTACTTTATTACTTGATGTAGCATCGGTATAGGAGAAATATTTGCTCTTGAATATGCTCAGCCAGGCAACACACATTGGGCCTGTTATCGAATAACAAATGTATGTTTATAGATCTCTTTTTTTTAATGAGTGAATGGATGTGTGAATGGGTGTGTGAATGAATGGGAGAATAAATGTGAGTAGATCTTATCGTTTATATATTGACTGCGTGATTTTTTGCAGACAAATTAAGCCGTCTTGCTGGCGAATGTAATAAAAAGGGTGCAGAAGCTTTGAGATTACATTGTGATATTTCCAATTTGGAATTGTTAAGAGATACAGGCGAAGGATTTCTTAATGAACATCCAATATATTTATTAATTACTAATTCTTGTAGATATTAATCTGTTTAAATGTCCTTTGATACTTGTCTAAATTTTTACACTTTTTAGCCAAAAATAACATCATTAAAGGTATTGAAACTCGTTGGAAAGACATGTTTTAACAATTAACTGCTACAATTATTAATGGAATTATTGATGTTATTATATTCGCGTACAAGAGAAAACAAAGGTCATATTACTGGTAAGGTCGCTACGCCTAACATTGACGTCATATTTGCTAAAATTTTTTAAAAAAAACCCCCGTTTTTTTTTAAAAAAAAAAGTAATTAATTATACAGTTGGCCATCTGCCAATTCCACAATCAATATATCACAATATGATAGAGTCTACACTTCTTTC